ACCTTCCTTCCGAGGAGTGGCTAGTGGGTTTGAACCGCCAGCCGTCTGGTTAGCAGGCAAGTGTCTTAGCCACTATGCTACCAGAGCTCCCATACTTTGAATACAACCCAGTAAATAATTTTGCCTTAAGCTATTTTGAAAATATAAATGATTAACACTTAAATATTCTTTTTATGTGTAACAAAAACCTAGGATGAAAATCAAGCAACAACCACATTTATCTGTGTGAAATTAGATTATCTTAGTTTCTTATGACATAAAATAAAGTATGAGGTTATAGAAATGAAGATACAGTTCCAAGTGTCATGAATCCTCTTGAGGAGAACAAGGGAAAATATAACTCCTACATGTTGTTGTGTGCTTGCCCACCATCCCACCTACTACAAAATTTTGTAGTGTTTAGACATTCAATGATTCTTCCTTCAGTTTCAGCAAGGGGAAAAATAAATCAGTATCGTGCTTTCAACACATCTAAATTTTAATTGGTCTATGCTCTTGTTATGTGCAACTGGGGACCGGCTCATAGCAACTGATACGGACATGTAATTTACAAATAAAAGTTTTCATTACTTCTAACATCTAGAGATTATAATTTATGTAGGATGAAAAGCCAAAAATGTAAAACAGGCTAGAAGACTACTAGAAAGTTAAGGAAAAATAAAATTTAGGATGAAAATGTGACTATGAAATATACACTGTTTTACTGTACTACTGTAAACTACTGGTATCAAATTTATCAACCTGATTGAATCCTTCTGAGGTGATGTTTGGGGGTAGGGGGTGGAGAAAGAAAAAAACTTACCAAGATGAGAATCTTCTGATAAGCTTTCATATTAAAAAAAAGGTACCAGCCAGACTGAAAATGGACTGGAACAGACTTTAGAAATAGATGCAAACTCTAATGTGCAGTTAAGTATGCTTTGCTAAGGGATTAAAAAACCTTAATTCACTATTTTAACTAAAGGTATTCCAGAAAACTGACGTTAAAGCAATTTTACACTATCTATGTATAATGGCTAGTGGAACTAAAAACTAGAGGAACTTGCACTGTGTTGTTTTTAAAAGCTAGACCACTTTCCTCTGTTTTTCCTGTTTTCAATCATTTCATAAGTTATCTTCTTAAAAACCTGAAAATCATTTAATGGAACTAAATGAACACAAGATTTCAGTTCCAAGTGAACAAAACTTGACAACATTATGACCCCCCTTGGAATAGTGTAGATGACCACTTTAAAATTCTATTTAAAAGACCACTTGCTAGTGAAACTTAGCTCTACTTTAAGCAATCACCCATCTAAGTATCATAAGCAGAATCTTAAGCCCATTGGAAAGAAACTAACAAAACAGAAGTAAGTAAAATGAGATTCCAAAATAATTTCTCCCAATATTTAAGGACAGCTAGAAACAAAGAAACAAAAAGCAAACCACAACAACAAAAAACAAGCATGAGAGAACTATGCTTTTACCACTAGATTCCAAACCACTACGTTGTTCAAATAATACAGTAAAATTCATTTTGCATTAAGTGAGGTCTCTGGTCTGACATTTCACTGTCTTGGCTGACAGAGTTTAGCAAGTAGTCCAGTTTACTTCATATAATCTAGAAAGCAGGAAGAAATAATAGTTGCTAGATTTTTTTCCTCTAATTATTCCTTCCCTTTAATGATGTGTGTGTTTCAAATAAACTAATGGGCAGCTGCTACACATGCAGTGTCCAATAGGCAAATTAACACAAATGTGCCATTTCTCTCTCTACAAGTTCCCCAGGGTTAAAACTATAGTTCCTTTGATTCATGTTTCACTTTCCTTTTCACAGAAATCCTGTGGTGACCCCAATGAAGTACGAGCAAATCAGCCTTTGCAACACCGGATAAGGAGCCTGAGTGATCACTAGGAGCAAAGCAGTTTGAAACCGAGCCCGATGGAGCGGGTTGGGTCCAGCACTCCTACACGGGACAAACATGTGTCCTCTGCACCCCGGACACAGCAGAAGAACGTGGCTGCTTCAGCGTCCTACCGGGACCTCTCCCACCTCTTCCTCGAAATCGTTGTACCTGTCCAGGAAAGGGCAAGCGGACCGGAGCCAGATGGGCGGGGAAAACCCCACTCCTCAACCCTCGATCCCTTTCTCCTCCCCCGAGCTCCCGGGGCCGTTACTTAACTGACCCGCTCCCCGGGTCCTCGCCCAATCTACCCAGCCTACTCCACCCCGAGGCCAAAAGGCCGTGCTCCCAAGGAGGGTGTGCGCTCGGCAGGGCACGCCCGACGGTCCCCAGCCCCGACCTCGCGGCACCGGTCGAGACCCAAGCCTGGTAGGGGCACCAAACGGCTCGCGGGCGGCGCCTGCCGCGGGCCCGCCTCAGCCCCTCGCCGCGCCCCCCTACTGCGCACCGCAGGCCCCGCCCCCTGTCGTCCATCCCTCCATCCCTCCTCCATCCACCTCCTCCCCATCGCGGCGCCAGCTTCACCTGCCCCGCCGCCGCCACCCGCTCGCGCCTTCCCTCGGGGCCGCCTCTCCCCAGGACCCCAGACCCGGCCGTCCCCCGCCTCCCACTCGGCCCCGACGCGCCCCCTCTTCCTTCGTCACCTGCCTCCGCCCCGAGCCTGTACCTTGTAGGAGTCGGTGGCCAGAAGGATGTTGAACTCGGCTTCTGCCGCAGCATTCATCTCGGGTCGGAGTGTGGGGGGCCTCGCGCCACGGGCTCCACGGCGCGGCGGCGAGGAAAGAGAAAAATGGGCTTCTCCGCGCTCCGTTGCTTAAGTCACCGCTCGGTCGAAGGGGGAGGGTAAGAGGAGGGGGAAATGGAGCGGGAAGGAGGGGCCAGGGGCGGGCGGGCCTGGGAGCCGTGACGCGGCGGAGGTGGTGGCGGCAGCTAGCGTGCTCGCAGTCCAGGAGTCCCGGCTGCCTCCCTGCCTCGGCTCCCCCGCCCCCACCCCATCACCCTGGCGAGGATGAGAAGGGGGCGGGGCGCGGCGGCCGCGCGTGCGCGCCGCGCGGGGGGCGGGCGGGGAGGACGTGAGGCACACGCTTTCGCTCCGAGATGCCCTCCCCGGGAAGCTGGAGTCGGCCCTGCAGCCCCGGCGCGTGACCCAAGCACTCTCCTGGGTTTCATTTCCCGGCCTGGCGCGGCGGGGCGGGGCTCACAAGGGGGCTTTTCCAGACTCGCTCCTCCTGCGATTAGCCGGTTCGCCCGCCCCGGCGTAGACCTTCTTGCCTTGCCCAGTCCTGGCAGGTTTTGTGAATCCTCCTGAAGTCACGCCACCCGGCTGGGGGCATGGGAGCTTCCCGCTGCCCTTCTCCGTTTCTTTACGCGCAGTTACTCACCTTTGTCTTCTACTATGGCTAAAGCTCCCGTTCCTCTTAGCCCTCCCTTTAAAATCCGTAAGGCTGAGGTGAGGAGTAAGGTTTGAGGAATCCCTTTAACTACTTGACTCCACTCTTCTCGCGCTCCGTTGATGGCTGAGCTCTTTGGTCCTTTGAGGGATGTTCTTACTCACTCGGGGAAAATAGCCTACTTGTAAAAGCGAGGGTTGACTTCAGTCCTCAAAGATAATGTGTGTGGGGGGTCAAGACTTGATTGAATCAAATAATGTCAGGAAGTAAAAGGCAGTGGGCGAAGCCTTCGACACAGTGCGAAAGTGACTTTTATCATCGATAATAATTGCTAAATCTTGGTCAACAGTTTGGCAACCCCAGATAAGTGAAACGACATCAGTTGACTTCATCGCAATAGGGGCCATCCTCCCGCGCCCTTCTCATTCGTAGCTGCATTTTTGCATGAAATTACGATTCCCTTTGTCTGCATATCCGTATGTTAATGGCTCCCCTCATCTTTTTTTTTTTTTAGAATAGGTTTTACCGGCTACAAGTAGCCGGAAAATAGTTTAATGACAACTGGTACAGGAATTTTATAGAACGACCTTCAAGTTAGTGGAAGTCGTTTTTCCCTGGAGGGCGGGGGAGGGTTTGTATTAATTGAGAGAAATTCATCACAAGAAAGCTGGGAACTAGGCTGGGACGTCTTCAAATGAAAGCAACTTCAAGAGTCCGTACATTAGAATGAGTAGATTTTTGACAATTACCTCTATCTATGAAAACAACCAAACTCAACTGCCATCGAGTGCAATCCGACTCATAGCGACCCTTCCTTGGGTATCTAGGAAAGTAGATTTTCTTCTGGTTAGCAGTCCAATGCCTTAGGCACTACATCATGAACGCTCCCTACAATACAGGGCAAAGATCGTGGAAGTGATGAAATAGCCCCAAGGCCCTCACCAGGTACATTCTGAATTATTTTTAGCACCCAGATTTGAAACAAGAGCAAATTTTTGTTACTTACCCTCCCTATGTTTACTGGGAGCAATTGTTTTAAGAATCAAATTATTTTAAAAAATTAGTTTGAGAGATTTGGTTTTATCAATTCAAGCAGCACAATTCAAAGAAGGAAAAAGATTTAGCCCTCTTAATTTAGGGCATTTATTACCTCTGTCATTTTAAATTTACATAACCTACTCAAATGACAAATTCTTACTTGTTTAGCTTCCTGGAATCCATGTATCTATAAGTGATCATTGTTCTTTATGCAAGGAAAAAAAAGATTCTGATTATAAAATGGGCTTTGTTTCTGTTAGCAGTTTTTAAAACAACAAAATAAAATTTCATCTTACAGTGTTTGTGTTGGATTTGTAGTTTAAAATGAAACAAATATCAGTAAAAGGAAAATTTAATTATGTATGGACATTGTTTGTTACATGCAGAAGCAGTCGTTAAGACTTGTACAAGTATTATAACTTGATCCTCACAACAATCCTTGGAGAAAAAGCTGACGGTGAAGGCATGTTACCAGTAGATAATCACCATTTGCCCTAGAATTAGGCGTATTCCAGCTGGGTGATTTTCTGTTGGTAATGTGACTTCACTGTCATCTTTTTCTCCCAGGATTGTTGTGAGGATTAAGCCATATTCCCTGTGCAGCTGGGAGCTCTGGTGGTGTAATGCCTAAGGCATTTGGCTGCTAACCAGAAGGCTGGCAGTTCAAACCCACCAGCCACTTCTCGGAAGGAAGATTGGGCAATCTACTTCTGTAGTGATACCACCTTGGAAATCCAAGGTGGGGTCACTATGAGTCAGAGTCGACTCTAGGATGGTGAGGTTTTTTCCCCCCTATGCAATTATACACTTAGTGTACAACGCAACAACAAATGCAATGCACTGCCGTTGAGTTGGATCCAACTCATAGCGACCCCTCCTTGGGTTTCTGAGGTGGTACCACTATTGAAGTGGATTGCCCAACTTTCCTTCCAAGGAGTGGCTGGTCTGTTTGTACTTCCAGCTTTCTGGTTAGCAGTCAAATGCCTTAGGCACTACACCACCAGAGCTCCCATATGCTTAAGTAAAACCAATTTTACAATAATTGGGGTTAAAAACTATGAAATTATTACCAAATACAAAGTCGAGATTTCAATTTGAAATACGTTACCCCTCCAGAAGATGATTTAATAGCTAATATTTTGTATGTTACCTAGTAGCATATAAAACATTTGAGAAACTTCTGTGGGTCACCACAGCATGACAAATACTGACTCAGTATAGTCTCAGATGGGCCTCTTTGACTTTTATTTAAAGTCTTGGATGGAGCTATAATTTTTACCAAACAGCCAAAACAGGCAATTCGAGCACCAAGCTCCTTGTTTCTATTGCTAAAAGTGCTATGAAAAACTCAGATTTGATCAGGCTACAGTCACCAAGGCAAAGTGGGTGTTCCTGCATCCATCCTTCCAGGTGCTCTCTGGTACGCGTAAGTTTTTCAGAGGTGCTCAGGTATTCTAGTCTGACCTGATCTGATCTTAGTAAAAAATATTGGAGATGTGGGTGTGGAACTCACCTGTGTCTCCTGTCAATGGCCCTATCCATTACCCTACAAAACCTCCTCTAGACTTACCTGTTAGCAAGAGTTGTCCTACGCAGGCTCTTAAGGGTGGGACGCAGGCATTAGTAGTCTTTAAAGACCCAAAAAACCACTGTCATGAACTCGATTCCAACTCATAGCGACTCCCATTGGGTTTCCGAGGCAGTAAATCTTTATGGAAGTAGATTGCTCTGTCTTCCTTCCATGGAGTGGCTGGTGGATTTGAACCTCCAACTTTCTGGTTAGTGAATTTCTTAGGCACTGCATCACTAAAATTTATTTATTATACTCAGACCCTTTTCTTACTCATACTTCCGAGGCCCTCTGGGGGACCTCCTGGAGTTACAATTTTCTAAGAAAAAGGACTCATCTACAAAGACAGTGGGGAGGGGGCAGTGGTGATTTCAGTGGTAGAATTCTAACTGTCCAGGTGGGAGCCCTGGGTTCCATTCCCAGCCAATGCACCTTATGCGCAGTCATGTCCACCTGTCAGTACAGGCTTTGGTGTTGCTATGTTGGAATTGATAGTAGTGGGATTTTTGGTTTGATGATGCTTAACACGTTTCAGTAGAACTCCCAGACTAAGACAGTCTACAAAGAAAAGCCTGGCAGTCTACTTTCAAAGATCAGCCAATGGAATCCCTAGGCATCACAGCCGTCTGATGCCCAGCCAGTCATGGGTTGCTGTAGGACCAGGTAGCATTCTGTTTTAGTGTGCATGGAGTCCCCATGAATTGGGGCCAACTCAATGGCAGGTGACAACAAAGAAAGACAATGATCTTCAAGGACTTGCATACCCCTGGAATCTCTGGGTGATGCAGATTGTTAACACATTTGGCTGCTAACCAAAAGGTTGGAACTTCAAGTCCATCCAGAGGAGTGTTTAAAAGCCTGGTAATCTACTTCTGAGAAACCAGCCATTGCTGAAAAATCAGCAGTTCTGCTCAGACATATGTGGCTGCCATAAGTTGAAATCAACTGACAGCAACTAACAACAATCTAAAAGTTCAGGAGTGATAGAGTAACTGTAACTATAGAGTAACTGTAACCTATATACAGTGGCTGCAATGATGGGCTCAAATATAGCAAGGATTATGAGGATGGCACACCACTGAGCTGTGTTTCATTCTTTTGTATATAGGGTTGCTATGAGTTGGAGTCAACTTGACGGCACCTAACAACAACAGCATATTCAGTAAGAATTAGTACACACATATAAACTACAGACATTCTGTTGTAAAATGTTCTTGTATACTTACTGTGAAGTGTCCCAAAAATATGGCTGTGCTACCTTTTCCTCATAGACTGTCTGGCCATACAGAGTTATCACCTATCTGATGTTAAACTCTCTTTAAATCTCACATTCCACAGGAGGTCTTCCTAATCTATGGATATGCTACATGGCAAGTCTCAATTTTTCCATTTCCATTAGCAGTGGTTTGTTTTTCATTATGTCCAAACATAAATTTTTCCAATTACAACCAAATTAAATGGGAAATAATGGTAGAAAGCAAAAAGAAGAGGTTTGAATTAATCTTTAAGGTAAATGTATGTGATGATGCTGTCTGTCAGTTGGGATTTGGGTGTCATAATTATTTCTAAATTTTGCTGGTGGCCACTTAATTTTAAGACTCAATGGCCAAAATCAATGGCTAAGAGATTGAAACTGTTAGAGGGATAAAATAATGTCAATATCCTTTAATTAGGTGTTTTCCCACATGAGAATTTGTAATCAGTGATGACACATATGATGAGTATTGATGGCACTCAGATGAATATTCTTAATTTAATTTTTTTTTATTGTGCTTTAGGTGCAAATTTACAGAGCAGAGTTTGTTTTACATTCAACATTTCATGTACATT